GGAGGTACTGTCTTTTATCGTTGGATGTACCGCTTCGAAAGGTCAGTTACACCTTTTATCGTTATTTCAACTAGTATTTTAATAATGTCTGAATAATAATGAAATTGCCAGTTTTGTTTATATAACATGTTTTTGAGAGACTTGAAAAGGAAAGTCACAAATAAAACACATGTGGAGGCGTAGATTTGTGAAGCATATCTCACTCAAGAAATCTCCACATTCTCGTCTTTTTTATTTTGAGCGGGATGTGATTACTAAAAGAAAAAGACCATCCCAATTAAAATGATGACATTGGCAAGGACTCATATGATAATGTATTAATGTAGTTTCTATTTTCAATTATCTAGGTAGAGGCAAAGAAGCTGTGACTTACCGCTAAATTATCGGTGAAGATTTTCTGACGGCTTATACATGCATCTTAATGAAGTGTCAAGAAATTTTGCCATTTTACAAATAAGTGTCTTTCTTAATTATATTCCCACAAGTCTTACTCATACATATGTTTTTTAATCACCAATTCAGAGCATCACTATATCAATTCCATAATCATATAATTGATGAGATGGTGAATTCTGAATTTGCATCATGGTACCAGAATAAGGTGCATTTTATTAAATATTAATATATTTTATCAAATGTTATTAATTACTATAATGTTATACTATCCTCCGTTTTTTTAATCGCAACATGTTGAATTTTACACTATTCACATGTTCTACTTTGACTATATTTTAAGGTATTATTTTATGAAAATTATTTTTTTTTTTAAAATATTGTTCAATTCATCTCATTACAAATTTTCAAAATCTGATTTTTAATTATTTTTTTACTAATAGAGACTAAGATATAATTACGGTCAAAGACGTGCGTTGGCAAGTGTGAAATGTTGACCGTTGCAACTAAAAAAGAACGGAGGAAGTATATATATATTTTTACAGATACGTAGTTGTGACAGTGTCGTCCCCATTCTACAATCTTTAGCGTCGGGACCTTCTACCCATGCAAAATTTGACACTCATATGTTATAAATGGTTACACCTACCTTACACGCGCTTATAGTGAGGACAGACCCACAATGAATAGCGGAATATGTGCCTCGACAATTGGTAACGATAATTCCAAAACAAACTTTTTTGTTTTTGGAAGAGATTCTAGAATTGAGTATGCCGCGAGTAGAACAAGAACTGTCAATTGTTTTTTTTCGATGCACATGGGTTGATCCGATACGAGGTGTGCAAAAAAATTCAAAATATAACATCGTTGATGTTAATCATCCTAGAGTACTGTATCATAAAAAACGAGCCTTTTATCCTCGATCGACAAGCTGTACAAGTATATTACGCCGAATATCCGAATAAGTGGGTCTGTGCATGCACTATCCGCCCTAGGAAAACTGTCACACAAGCTCAGCACAAAGATGTTGATTTAAATGCTTTTCAACAAGAGTATTTTCAGCCACCGCCTATTGTTGAAGCTATCACCAATAACATTGTCTTGAGTGATCGAAGCAGGGCAGAAATAGAAGTTGTTCTACCTAAAAAATACTTCGCCCCGAATTCCACTAGAGATAGTTCGACAAGAAGAAGAAGAAGAGGAGGAAGAAGAGGAGGAGGAGGAGGAGGAAGAGCTTCCCCAGAAAATTCTCAGGGGGTCACCCATTTTAAGACTACTCCCGTGCAAGCACGCTTAACTTTGGAGTTCTTAGCTGATGAGCTCTTTTAAAAGGAGAAGCATCTTGTTGGTATGAGTAGTACTATTAATCTCCCTTCAAATTAAATCTCAAGTGTTTCAATCCCCCCCCCCCCCCACTTAGGAACGCAACGTCCTCTTTGCGCCCATAAACCAATCTCAAATCTCAATCAAATCCCAGAATCCTCCCCTGCTAAATGCCCGATCGATGTCCAACAGGTCAACACACTGTCGCAGAGTTGCTCTGATACCACCTGTAACACTCCGACCCCGCAGGATCTGAGGTAGTTACTCCAGACCTCTAGTACTATCTTCACAAACCGCCACTAGCCTTTTCCGCGCACTTTGCCTTCACTCGTGCGCGCCCTGAAAAATTTCCTAGGGGATCTCCCACTACTCTCGTGCAAGCACACTTAACTTTGGAGTTCTTAGCTGATGAGCTCCCTTAAAAAGAGATGCATCTTGTTGTATGAATAATACTATTAATCCCTTTAAATTAATCTCAGGTATTACGGAGGAGATCATGATTCTGCAAGCGATTAATTGGTTTTTATTGTATTACTCGTTGTATCGAACTTATTGTGGTGGTACTTGCATTTCTCAATAATTCTCTATTCTTTTTGTTACTTATCGAATTTCTTTTTTTTTTTTTTTTTGATAAATTACTTATCGAATTTCTAATACAACACATTGATAGTTTTTTCCCACTTTAATCAAATATTATATGTGTTTTCCCCAAAATTCAAAAATATTCCTCAAATGTTTTTTCCTTAATATTTATTTTAATCTGAATCATAAAATTCGGAAAAAATATATATTAAAATTTGAAAGTTCAAAAATTCGAATATTCGAAAATCTGTTGTATTGAAAATTCTAGAATTTTTGTATTAAAATTAAAAAATTCAAAAATGCATTTTAATCATATACTCCCTCCGTCCCAAAAAATTGTTTCTGGTTTCCTTTTTGGGTTGTCCCAAAAAATTGTTCCACTTTCTCCTTTTGAGAAATTTTTTGTGGCTACAATTCATTTACCTTTTTCTTACTCAACCACAACTATATATTTCTACTTTATTCCCACTTTCTTAAACTCCGTTCCAAGCCAATGTGAGAACAATTTTTTGGGACGGAGGGAGTATTCCTCAAATACTTTTTTCCTTAGTTTTTTTTAATCTAAAGTATAAAATTCGAAAATTTGTTGTACTAAAATTCAAAATTCTCTAGGGTAAACTTTTACCGCTTTTTGTACTCCGTATTAAATTAACTTTTATTAATTTATACATTATGTTAAAATACACACAAATAGATAAACATTTGATGCTAATACGAAATATTATTAAATCACCAAATTCATTACACATGAGTTTATTTATTACATTTCACAAAAGATAAGGAAATGCAATTCTACATTATTTCAAGCACAACAATGAAAACAACATTAAACAGATGACTTTTTAAATAGATGACTTTTTTGAAAAGATAAGTGAAAGATGTAAAAATAATATTTTGATCATGTTATCTTAATTTTTTCACTTGAATATACTTCGTATTTAAGAAAACATTTTGAGTCTAAAAATCTCCAATAGTTAATATTTTAATTTTTTATTTTTATTTTATATATGTGATATTGGTGTGATATGAAAAATTATTTTTTTTTAAAGAATTTTGATATATATTTTGTAAAACATTACGGAGTATTTACAAATAAAAAAATTATAAATCTTTTAATAAAAATGAGATTTTGTTTTTTCTTGGAGTCCCACCATCTTTTCCCATCACGGCATCACCTCACCTTTTTTTCTACCGGCTCTTTGTTCCAGCAAGGCAAAGAAGTGAAAGTTGGGTGCCAAATTACACCACCATGGGTGCCATGCAACCACTTTAGCCTCTCCAAATAGATAGGGTTGGAGTGTTTTTTGGAGTGAATACATCTAATTTAGCTTTTCACCCCTGGGTTGCAGGCAGCCTTATGAGATCGCTTCTCTAGTTCGAAACTTGAACTATTAAATTATCAAATACTACTTCCGTCCCTTTTTATATTGAGACGGAAGAGGGTGACACGCGTTTTAAGAAAAGTGGGTTTGTTTGGTTGATATTAATTGATAAAGTAAAAATAAAGTAACAATGATTTTGAGCCACACAAACTTTACCAAATATGGTATGAGACAATTTAAGTTGGACTTCCCGAAATGGTAAAACGGAACAATATAAATGGGACAGAGGGAATAACATTGATGATTAAACATAGGGTTTTTTGTAACAATATTACTAAAATAAAACTTATTTACATAAGTATGATTATTCATTACTACAACGTAGTGTTGTAGTAACTTAAGTTCAGAATTTGAACATGAATTACTATAATTTCATTACTACTCTAGTAACTAATCATATTTTTGTAAATAATCTTTATTTTGGTCATATTAATGTAATTATTTCTTAAACATATGACTTTTTCTGCGTCAGAACTTGAATAGTTTTTTTGCAGCATCAATCTCCTTGAGTTCCTCCAATATTTCGGCCATGTGATTGACATTTTTTTTCAGTTCGGGAAGATCTTTACCGAGAAGTTTTATTCTTTCTTTCAAGATGATAACCTCAACCTCAGGAGGTAATTTCTTTCAGTGACACAAAGATACACCCGTGATTGTTTTTTATATCACAACTTTTGTTAGGGATTACTCCTTCCGTCCCATTTTGGTTGTCTTACTTTCCTTTTTGGATTGTCCCAAAATGAATGTCTTGTTTCCTTTTTTGGCAAAAAATATGTGGTCCTTATTATTTTATTTTATTGTAATCAAATTTCAACCACAACTTTTACTTTTCAACCACTTTATTAATAGTCGTGCCAAATTGAAAGTGGACAACCAATATGGGACGAAGGTAGTAGTCTCTGAAATTTCCCTGACGAAATAAAAATTCGAAACGGATTGAGAGGACCCTACAATTTTGTTAGGGATTAGTCAAGGAAAAATCCCTGATTAATTTAAAATTCAATTACACTATTAATTCGGATGGCCCAAGTTCCAATTGAAAGTTTAGTTAGGATTTAGTGAGGGATATATCCCTGACAAATGCATTGGAAATCGGTTTTCTGCAACCCAGACTTTTATTAGGGTTTTTTTCCTGACTAAACCGAGACAAATTAAATACGTGGAAGATTGTTTGTGATTTATCCCTGACTAATGCTTTAATTGATACTTGTATTAGTTGTATATACTTAGTTTTTCTTTTGGACTGTTTTCACTCCCAGACCGGACCAGACTTAAATAGACCAGACCAATTTCAATCCAAAGAAAACATCCTAAATGACACTGATTCCCCACTCTCTTCATATCGCCTCGACCAATCACTTTACCCCTACTTCGCCGAAATCTTCCAATTTCCACTGCTATTGAGACCCAGAAACAAACAGAAGCAGAGTTAGCGCCACCGCAGCAATTTGACGACTATGTGGAGGACAAAACCTACATATGGTGAGGTTAACAGAATCATGGGCAACTGAAGCTGGAACGGATATGTAATACTTGATAGAGTGGAAAGACGAACATGCCCCGACCAGGGTCCCTTCCGAGTACGAGACTAGCTCCGTGGTGGAAGGCAGCGATGACGGGAGGGACGCGGACGCCGTTGACGAGAACGTACGTACGTACGGCTCTACCTATTTGGTGGATCTGAGGACTGCGACAAACTACCGGCAGAAGCGGGGGCGGACGTCAATTACAGGGACAAGCGCGGTGGCAGCTTGACGCCTCTGCACATGGCGGCAGGCTATGTCCGGCCTGGAGCGGTGAAGAGAATGTTGATCCGCCTCTCAGTCCGGCGCCTCTGCTCTTCCGGTCACATCTTCCTATTTTTGCTTCCTTTATTTTAAGTTCTTTCTTTTTTTTTTTGGGAAAGTTCCCTAAATAAGTTTGAAAATTCGATTGTCATGTTTTTATTCCCAAAATAGGAGTAATTACTGTCAAGTTTGGAAAATACTGTCATCTTTAAAGTCTGGTACTGCCAAAACATGACAGTAATTAGTACTATTTTGGAAATAAAAATATAGCAGTCCTATTTTTGGAATATAGAAGTGCTTTTAGTCCTATTTAGGGTAATTACTCTTTTTTTTACATTCCTATGCATGTCTCCGATTTTAAGTTTGGTTTTATATTTGGGGTTTTTATTTTAATATTACTAATTTTGAACTAATAACAAAAAAAAGTGAGCACTTTTAAAAAGGAGCAAAAAAAGGTCATATTAAAGTCATTCTCAGATTTTAATATCACTATCCTCTTTTATTGTCACTATTAAATGTCAGTGATGCCACTACCTGTGTCACTGCCGCCACCATCCATGTCACTGCAGCCACCGCTCGTATCACTGCGGCCACCGCCGCCCGTGTCACTGCAGGCACCGCCCTTGTCCCTGTAGCCACTTCCTATGTCATTTTCATATGTCACTATCGGTTTTTAGGTGACCTTCATGTGTCACTATCAACTTTCATGTCACTTTCGGGTGTCACCGTTGCCGTGAAACGTGTCATTGATCGCCGGAGAATTTACTGGCAACTTTTTTTGGTAAACAATAACTTCCATGGCTGAGCACCGCAGCCCATCACTCCCAGGCAGTGCCATCCCACCGTCACTCGGTAGACCCCATGCCCCAACCAACCCCATGCTAGCAAACCCAATGACCACCGTCCAGTACAGTGCCCGACGCCGCCGGAGCCGTCACCATCACCGGCGTTGCCCCTACCCCCCTCAACCCCCATTCCCTGTCACAACCCCCAACACCCTTCCCAGTGGCCAGAGACTTCTTCAGCCCTACTCCCCAACCACCGCACCACCACTTACAACCCTAACCTCCAAATTGAGCCGCGTCGCCGCTCCCCTGCCACCTTGCCTCCGCCATCGCTAAACCGGATCTCGAATTAACACCTCACGTCGCCTACCGCCACCAGCACCACCCCGGTCTGCAATTAACCTTACCCCCGATCCTCGTCATCGCCAAACCAGAAGCTCGAATCTGTTCAATTAGAGCACCGAAGACAAATAAACAAAACTACCACCCCTAGCACCACCTTTGAAGCTCGAATTTGCTCCTTAGCGTTCGGAATCAGCTGCGTTCGTTCCCTATGTCGTCACAGAGAAAGAGAAGAAAAGGAATGGAGACGAAGTGCAGAAAGATGGTGCATCAGCGAAGAAGATCAGACGACGGTGTTGCTGCTGAGGAGGCTATGGTGCAATCGCCGATCGAGGAGTTCTGGAAGATATAGATCTGATTTGCTTCTTTGGGATGCGGCGTAGATGTTGCGCGTCGGATAACTACAGGAGATCAGTTTTATGTCTCGGTCATTTTAAGTCATATTAAAGTCTGGCGAAAGATGGGTACTTTCTTAATATTAAGTCATATTAATGTCAATCTCAACTGTGTGAACACATTTTTATTAGAGTATTTCGGACACTTTCTTAATATTAAAACTTTTTGCATCTTATGAAAATGGTTATCTCCGCACTCTTCTTTTTTGGACCTTTTGTACTCTATTATACGAAGTATCTATTACGGAGTACATCTTATGAAATGGTTATCTTCCTTTTCCCATTAAAATTCTTACAGGTTATTTTACTGGTTATCTTCCATTTAAAATTCCTGGTTTTTTACTGGTTATCTTCCATTTAAACTTCTTACATCTATGTTAATATGTTACCATAAACACCATTTAATAAAGAGACTTTCTCAAAAATTAATTGAAACAATACCTCAAAAAATCCTCCCTTTCACATTAAACTGCAATTCTCAGTTTAATGTGTTACTAAAAAAATAGTCTATTTAAACATCATACACCTATTTTAATATGTTACCATAAACACCAGCTAGTAAAAAGACCTCATTTTTTTTGAAACTATACGTCAAAAAAATCCACCCTCAAAATATTATTCTATTTAAACTTGTTACTCCTCTTATAATACTAAGTATATGTTACTAAAACACCTATTTTAAAAGTCAGTTAAAAAAATTATAACACCGTTTTTGTTTCAAGACATTTTTTCATCTTCACCTATTTTAAAATTCCACATTAAACTGAAATTATTTTTCTAATGGGTTACCAAAGGATATAATTTTTCATATAAAAAACTTATTGATTCCGTAAATCTCAGTTTAATGTTTTACCAAAAAGTTTTTCCATTTAATATGTTACTACAACACAAGTTTTTAAAAAAACAGTTAGAAAACTATTTACCAAAAATAATAATTAATATGGTCATAATAAAAGGCTAACTTGTACTTATAATTCCAAAAATATTCTCATTTTAAAATAGCTAAAAACAGTGTTGTATAAAAGTTTATTTTACTTACCTTTATAAATCTTAGATGCCAAACTCCTTACGTAATTCGAACCAAACTAATCGAGGCCGAGGCTAAGGTCGAGGCCGAGGCAGAGGCCAAACGTCTCGCGATCACTCGACGCCAGACAATGATGGTAAATCCAATGACATTCCGGTCAACCAAACTTGTTGTCAATTCTCTCATCTGCGTGGGGGTGGGGTCAGGGGCAGATCTAGGCTAAGGCCAGGGAGGGCCTAGGCCCACACTCAAAAAAATAAAAATTACTATTATATATATTATGTATTTATTTATATATAGTGATTCAGTTAATATGGGATAAATGTATAATACTAGCTAAAGTCAAATATTTACCACTTGTTACGTTGGCCTGATGGACGTGAATTGAGCCTTTGGTGCACCATAAGGTCTGGAGTTCGAACCTAGGTACTTATTTTTTTTAGTGCAACACGTACTGATTTTTTTATTAGTATTTTAAAATTTCAACTTTCTTTCCAATATCTCTTTATTCCACATATCTATATACATTTGATCTTCATCAATTTATAAATTGGACTTTTGAATATTGATATGAAATATTAATCAGGTCAATTCGTTGGGTTTTTGAATATTGGGCTGAAAAATTAATTAGTTCAATTCATTGTGCTTTAGAGTATTGGTTTGAGATTAGTATAATTCATTTGACATTTGAATATTAGTCTTAAAAATTTATTAATTCAATTCATTGAACTTTTCAATATTGACTTGAAAAATTAATAAGTTCAATTCATTGTGCTTGGTGAGTGATATTTAATTAGTTTATTTTTTTTAAAGAGACTATACTATAGAGTCAATAGAAAACTGGTTTTCGAGAAATTGACTTTAAAATTAGTATTGAACATTTCAATAGCCGAGCCAATTTCGGTTCGGGTTATCTACGACTTTTAAAATAATTAAATTGTCCGTTCTGTAATATTTTTTTTCTTTGACATTTCTGTAATATTATTTATCTACGGAGTACTTTTTTTCATTTTGACATTTGTTTCAATATACGTTATTTAATTAAAATTTGGACCACCCTCAACGCAAATGCTAGATCCGCCCCTGGGTGGGGTGGTGGGACCTCGATCCTCACAACCCCATAATGAGTTGCCCGACAACCGAAGATGGATAACGGCGGAAGAAGTTGCCAAGTAAATTTAAAATTTTCTATTCAATAAAATAACAATAATACAATATGTAAATTAATTAAAATTTTATTTTTATGAATAGATAGAAACAATTTTGCCAACAATTGAAAAAATTGTCTCAGGACATTATCCTACTGAGGCATGTGCCACCTATGGTCAAATATAAAAAAAAGCTTCGGACTCAATTCTTTGGCATGTTCACGGTTATGTACCGCAAGTCTCTATAAATAATGAGTTTGGCAAATGATTTGTTAAATATGTTAATTTACATTTAACAATATTTAACAATATGTAATTTGATGAATAATGAATATATGTGGAATCCGATTGAGACGAATGAGATTAGGAAGAACTTTCATTCTCGGACAACGGGTCACTTCTACATTTTCCCATGCCCGATACACCAACACCAAGCCGGAATGGATTACGGACAGTGCCTTGCAGACTCTTTTGGAATATTGGGAGCCCGGTGCTCTATTTAAAAAAAAACAGTGAAGCAGGGAAGAAGAACAGAAACTGCCAATATGCAAAGGATAGCTAATGGCATGGTGGACGTTCAACCACGTTTCACCATAACTAAAAATTGGTAAGTTGTCCCACTTATTTTGTAAATTCAATTATATATGGTTACAATATTAAAGTTTTAATTTTCTATAGGGAGAAAAATTGAAGAAAAAAGTTAGTAGATTGGTATTGTAGAACAAGTGTTGGGCTCCAAAAATCTGGGCCAATACCACCGCGTATTGCTGAGATAACGGTAAGAAATGAATAAAATAAATAAATATATTTGTATTCTTCACTTATTTACTTTAATTAAATGATTGTGTAGCATAATTATGAAGAATTGATGGCTGAGAAGTTGACTGAAATTAATGCCGCCAGGGGTGAAGTTGTTGAGGAGGAGATTGATATCGATGACATCATCGTAGAGGCTATTGGTGATGCATTGAAGGGGCGGTTACGGGGAATGGGCTCACTCTCTCGCTCCATTCTAAGAAAATCTCGTGGCTGTGTTCATCTTCTCAACCTGGACCTTCTCGGCAAGAAGTTGATGAGCTACGCGAGGGGTTAAAAAGACAACAGAAAAAAGAAGAAGCCCGAGAAGCTAAAATGCGGGAAATGTGTGCTTTGGTTGCTTCATTAACGCAACAATCTCAAATGGCCATGGTGGCACGATATAACCAAGGGTTGTTACAAATCCCCTTCAGCTTCTTGGGCTTCTGCTTTTTCCCGTTGTCTTCTTAACCCCTCGCGTAGCTCATCAATTTCTTGTCGAGAAGGTCCAGGTTGAGAAGATGAACCACATCCACGGGATTTTCTTAGAAAGGAGCGAGAGAGTGAGCCCATTCCCCGCAACCTCCCTTTCACCGGATCACCAACAGCCTCTACGATGATATCATCGTCATCAATCTCCTCCTCAACAACTTCACCCCGGCGGCAGTAATTTTAGTCAACTTCTCAGCCATCAATTCTTCATAATTATGTTACACAATCTTTTAATTATAGTAAATAAGTGAAGAATACAAATATATATTTATTTTATTTGTTTCTTACCGTTATCTTGACAATACGTGGTTGTAGTGGCCCAGACTTCGGAGCCCAACACTTGATCAACAGTACCACTCTACTAACTTTTTTCTTCAACATTTCTCCTTATAGAAAATTAAAACATTAAATATTGTAACCATATATAATTGAATTTACCAAATAAGTGGGATAAGTTACCAATTTTTTTGTTACGACCAAATGTGGTTGAATGCCCACCATGCCATTGAGTATCCTTCGCATTTTGGCAGTTTCTGTTCTTCTTCCCTGCTTCACTGTATTTTTTAAACAGAGCACTGGAGTCCCAATATTCCAAAAGAGTCTGCCAGGTAGTGTCCATCATCCATTCTGGCCTTGTGTTGGAGTATCAGGCATGGGAAAATGTAGAAGTGAGCCAACTCATTGCCCGAGAATGAAAGTTCTTCCTAATCTCATCTGTCTCAATCGGATTCCACGTGTATTCATTCTTCATTAAATTACATATTGTTAATTAACATATTTAAAAAATCATTTGCCAAACTGATTATTTATAGGGAATTTTAGTACATTACCGTGAACATGCCAAAGAATTGAGTCCGAAGCTTTTTTGATATTTGACCATAGGTGGCACATGTCTTAATAGGGGACAGAATCCTACTCTCTATCTGTCAGATTGTGATTATAGTCCAATTTACATCCTCTCATCGTGTTGTTCGGTCGGTGTTGGGGGGGCCTCAGGGATGGGGTGTCATCCTTTTTTATGTCTAGAGACAACTTTTTCAATTGTTGGTAAAATTGTTTCATCTCATCATAAAAATTTAAATTAATTAATTTACATATTGTATTATTGTTATTTTATTGAATAGAAAGATTTAAATTTACCCGGCAACTTCTTCGGCCGTTATCCATCTTCGGTTGCCGGGCAACTCATTTTGAGTTTTTAAGGTGGTCCCACCACCCCCACCCCCACGCACATGAGAGAGTTGACAAGAAATGGGAGTGTCAGGTTGACCCGAATTGTCATTGGACGTACAATTATTGTCTAGCATTGAGTGATCGCGAGATGTTTGGCATCTAAGATTTATATGGTTCAAATTACGTGAGGAGTTTGGCATCTAAGATTTATAAAGGTATGTAAAATAAACTTTTATACAACACTGTGTTTAGTTATTTTAAAGATGAGAATATATTTGGAATTATAAGTACGAATAGCCTTTTAATATGACTATTTTAATTATTATTTTTGGTAAATAGTTTTCTAAATATTTTTTTTAAAAACTTGTGTTTTAGTAACATATTAAATGGAAAAACTTGTTGGTAAAACATTAAACTGAGAATTACGGATTCAATAAGTTTTTAGTGTTATCTCAATTTGCTATGAAAAATTATATCTTTTGGTAACCCATTTAAAAAATAATTTTAGTTTAATTTGGAATTTTAAAACATGTGAAGATGAAACAATGTGTTAAACAAAAACTGTGTTATAATT